ACGTGTGCTCTTCCGATCTCCCCAAAACCCCAAAACCCCAAAACCCCACGAGGATAAATAGATTTTAAATGATTTATGTTAAATATTATTTGAGTTTTGCGTTCTTTGATATCAACAGTAACCTAAACCTCTTAAAATTATTTGCATCAATTGTATATTCTTGATTCAAAATCCTTCCATAGTTGTTGAGATTCCTTTTTATAATCTGCTGGTGAGCCTGTAGCGAATGAATGTTGCGATGGTCTACCTACATAGTACATCTCCGACTGCTTAAATTGCAATTTTCTTAAAGCTCTGTCAATGTGAAGCTTAGCGAATTGGAAAGCACCCTCGTTCAAACATTCCTCCTAAACCCACACATATTCTGCTGAGCTCTTGACTCCCAATGACTGTAAGTGAGTCTGTATTTCATTAATAGGGAATGGAGCCAATTCTTCGACTCTAATCACTGCAAATGTATTCTTAAGTTAAGCTGCATCAGTTTCGAGTTTCTAAGCAATATCAAAGTATACCTTTCCAGAGCAGAATATAACTTTTTTAACATCTCCTTGGCCAAATTTATTCACTATAGTTGGCTGGAATCTAGTGCCTGGTAAAAATTCATCTATTCCAGAGACAGCTTTTGGATGTTTAAGACCAATCTTTGGAGCAGCAATGACCATTGGTTTTCTGTAATTTCTAAGCATTTGTCTTCTCAGCAAGTGGAAGTAATTTGATGGCATCGTCATCTGAGCGAATTGGAAGTTTATATTTTAAGCAGTAAGGTTGTCATAAGGGCCATTTAGATTATCATAAGCTTGAGAGTTGATATTCTGTAGGAATCTTTCAATGTGGCAAGTGGAATGCTCTGGTCCAGAGCCGTCAAATCCATGTGGTAAAAGCAAAATTAAACCACTTTGTCTGAGCCATTTAGCCTCTGAGCACATAAGATACTGATCAACAATAAGCTAAGCTGGGTTATAGAAATCTCCAAATTGAGCCTCCCATTGCACAAGATTCTTGGGACTTTCTAGTGAGTATCCGTATTCATATCCCATCACTCCGAGTTCATTTAGATTTGAGTTATAAACTTGGAATCTGCCCTTTGAATGGGATTGCATGAATTAACTTTCTTTTAGGGGAGTTGTATATTCACCATGCTCTTGCTAGCAATGGAAAACTGCGTGCCTTTGAGAAAAGGTGCCTCTTTCCACATCTTCACCAGTTAATCTTACATTATAGCCGTCAATCAATAGTGAGCCATAAGCCATTGCCTCTGCAGTTGCCCAATCAAATTTATTTTCCTCAATGCTCTTTAGTCTATTTGCAATATGCATTCTTTATAGTCTTGAATGAGGCTGGATATTAGGTGGTAGCTCAACTGATGATTTTGCAATTCTTATCAATTTATCTTTCTCATAGCCAGAGTGCTATGGTTCTTTTCCATTCTATGAAAAGTCCATATCTTTCCATTTATGAGTCAAGCTTCTACTACCTTTGTAGTTAGGGTCTTTTGTGGTTTCAAGAGTTGGCTTGAATTTTTCAGCTTCCTTGAACTCCTCTTCATAGTGATTGCTAATTTAGTCAATCATTTTCTGATATGCTTGCTCCTTAATAACACCTTCTTAAACCAACTTTTCTGCATATTAGTGAGGAAGAGATTTCATATCTCTAATCTTTTCGTACATTTTAGGTTGAGTAAATGAAGGCTCATCAACTTCATTATGCCCATACTTGCGATATCCAATCATATCAATCAGGATGTCCTTTCCATATTAATGCCAGTACCTAGCAGCGAGCTTGCATACTCTACTTACTGCTTCAACATCGTGAGCATTTACCCTAATAATTGGAATTCCAAAAGGCTTAACAATATCACTGGCATGAGGGAATGATCTGCCGTCTGCATTATCAGTTGTGAATCCAACCTAGTTGTTTGTAATGAAATGGATTGTGCCATTGCACTAAAATTTAGGTAGCTTACACAGGGTCAGTGCTTCATAAGCAGCACCTTATCCTGTAAATGCAGCATCTCCATGACCTTGAATATTCAATACCTTTTTTAAATTTCCAAAATCATCTTGCTTGGCTCTAGTTTTTCCCATAGATATAGAATTTTAAGACTCCAAATGACTAGGATTATGAATCATAGTAAGCGTGACATCTCTGTTCTTAGAGTTATCAGCTCCATGAGAGAATTTCTTTGTATTACTGACTGCAATATGAGTGGGCATATCATCAATACGATCATTGATCTCCTCAGGGATCTCGTTATTCCCCTTTACCTTGTAAATTAGATTCCTCATTGGGAAGTCATTTGCCACAATCAAAGTGGCTAATCTACCTCTATGAGGCATACCTAATACAGCATACTCCATTTCTCCTTTTTCAACATGACTCGCCTCAGCTATAATAGCGTTTATCGCTACGGAGATCGCTTCAGATCCTTCACTAGAGTACCTCTTGTGAGTGGCAAATCTTTTCTATAAAAACTTCTCCATCTCCTCAGTTCTGGTAAGCAATTAAAGTATCTTAAACTTTTCTTAAGAGCTTATTGATTCATGCATAACTTTCTCGTGATTCTCATAAAGCCATAGTCTTTCCTCCTAATTGTGAACATGATCGAATTCGATTCCCACTGAGCCAGCATAGACATTATTTAAATACTCGTGAAGATCACTTATGGTTGCTACCTTATCCTACAAATGAGTGCTCACTCTGTAATCTAAAGGATAAGTTTATATATTTTCAAGTGGATTTAACTACCAATGATCTGTCTCGAAAGTATCACATCTGTCAGGACTATATACATTATTAGGTAAATCAAATGAAGTATTACTTTTTCAATCCTAGAGGATCAAGTTTAGATTAGGTGTGCCCATGTTTCTAATAATGCTCAATATAACCAAGAAGATTATGACTTTTAGGAATCTTAACCTATCTTGAAAACTACTTTCCCATCAGGTTCATGAGAATTTAAGATTGATTAGTTTTTTATTGTTTGATCAAATTTCTAAGAAGCATCTGTATTGTAGCGTTGTTTGTTCGCTTTATAAGTTATTTAATTTTATATTTGAGATAGTAATTGATTGACTATGAAGATATTAAAATCTTATTTACTAGATAATACATGAATTTGTGGATATAATCCTTTGATTAAGATTTTTCAGCATCTCATGGGGTTTTGGGGTTTTGGGGTTTTGGGG